GATCAACATTCTTTACTATAGCATGATAGAGAGAAGATTAGCATGGTGTTTGCGCAAACTCATGACATGGTGCATATGGAAGGGGGGGGGGGGGGGTTGGCAGAGTGACTTCACTGTTGGGTCTTTGAGCATAACCCCTAACCCCTAATTGCTCCACGAACTGGCTGATCCTGCTTTAGAAAAAAAGAAAGAAAAAAAAACGAAAATGTCGCTTTTGATAAAACCATCTGCAAAAAAGAATGTAAAAATGTAAGCATCAGCATCACAATCCATAATCCACATTATAGTATTTAGAGTATACTATATATTATCTGTTTTGGGAGGGAAAAAAATCAGCATGAGGGATAAGAAAGGATGTCCGTTTGAATTGCCTTCATCGGCTGCAAGGACCCGGGTGGGCTCAGGAGCGAGCCTTTGCGCTAGATGGCAGCACATACACAACTCGAGGTTCGTGAGGGACTCCAGGGGTCTCTGGCTCAAGGTCTGCACTCAGGTCTACACTCCCCCTCTATGGCCAGCATGGACCCCAAGGGCTCCAGCAACATGTGTTAACAATTTAGGCCCAGACATTTATTTCTTTGTTTTACTGCTTGGCTCTCCCGTAGACAGCGTCGGGACAGGCCGAGGGCCGTCTGGATCGTGTCAGAGGCCGTGGGGATCGGGTTCTCGTGATGAGCCAGATGGGGAAGGCCTTGGGGTTCTGTCGAGCACAGCGGTATGACCAGTGGCATGGGGGAGGTTGGGGGTAATTGACCTGTTTGGTCAAGTTCTAGCTGGAGCAGGTTTCTGGGGTGAGGAAGAGCCATTTGTGTTTGAGTACAGAGCAGGCCAAAGCACCGTACCTCCGTGGGATTGGCGGAGGAGATGAGGAAGTCTCCCAAACCGCATTCCTGTATGAGGGTAACTAACCCTCTTGCCTGTTTTCTCCCTGTTTCCACAGCTCCCTCAAGGCGCAGTGACCTGGAAAATCTGGGATACTGCCTGCTCCACTGGCTGTGCGGGACACTGCCCTGGGACTCGATGCTGAAGAACCCAGTACACGTCCAGGAGGCCAAAGCCAGGTGCTCTCATGGCTCCTTACTCTGGCGTTGGGACCTACTGGTCCGGAGTCCAAGAGTCTAAGTGGATTTTTTTCTCCCTACCTTTTAGTAGATGTGATTCCTTAGCTGTATATGGGATTCACCAACTGAATGTTAATGTAGTACAATGCATAAAAATGACAGATGCAAACCAAGAGTTTTATAGCCCATAGAGTTGCGAGCCTACCGAGCATCCAATGGTGATGTCATGGGTAATGCTTTTGGGAAAAGAAGAAATCTGCTCTTTGTACTGCATGCGGTATAATTTCTTGATGTGATGTAGGACATTTTTGGGTCAACTTAACCCAACAATGCCAAAAGACAAAGATCCAGTTTTGGAGTTTCTCATTTGCTCAGTTCCTGTTCACCACCCCAGGCTGATGGCCAACCTCCCCGATTCAGTGCTGGAGCTACCTGGCAGTGGTATGGGTGAGTAGGTTGGTGCTGGGGGGCTCTTGGATGACAGGTGTGGCGGGGGGGGCATGGAGGCATCACAGCATAGCTTTGATGCCAGAGAGCGGCTCCTATAATCTCCTGAGTTTCTCTCAGCGTATAGAGCACTCAGGGACAATGTTCTGTTATAGGTTTGTAGGCACATTGCTTCAGAATGAGGAGCTGGGGGGGGTCATGCTGATGTGATTATTGGCAGGGGCCTTACGTCTTTGGAAAGGTTCTCTCCAACTGGGCTTCTCAGATAACGTGTATCGGTAATGTGAAGCTAATGTATGTGGGAACCACACCCCCACCCCGTCCATGGGCCCAACAGCCCAGGCCTCACTCACGCTCCACTCACCCTGGCACCATCTATACATCTACGCATTCAAGGTAGTACCCGAGTCCCTTGACTTGTTCTGATGGCTCCAGGACACCTGACAAGTTTCTAGGAAGACACATGTACCCAAACAGCAGGGCGAGGTGGCAGACTGACAGGCACACATTGCAGATGTGGGCGTATGCTTTAAGTTCCTCCCATGAGCATTTGGATAAACTTAGTTGAGGGGCAGTTAATGTTCACCTGTGATAACACTGCTGCTCCTCTTTCTTCCAGAGGAGGTGGCAGTGTTCTTGAAGTGTGTGAATTCCCTGGCATACAAAGAAAAGCCGGACTACCAGATGCTCCTAGACATCCTGTCAGGTGGAGAAGCCCGAGTGGAGGGCCTGCTGGACTTCTCTAGACCAGGAGTACAGGCGGTGGTGAGATAGGGGACTTTTTTTGGGGTCTGGGGACTAGATTGTGGGGATATTCAAGCGTTTAGGGACAGAGTGGCTGAAAGTCTTCTCCTGACCCTTGAGGAAGCAGCATGTGGCCCTTGTATGACCCTGCTAAAACTCTGGCCTTCCTGGGAGGGGGGAGTGATAAGCTGACTACCTGGGGCTGCCTAAGGCCATCTGTCTCTCCCGTACTTACAACAAGCACTATAAGAATTCCAACACCACAAAGAAACTCTCCTCGTGACTATATACCTGAGCCAAAAATACTCATCCCAGGCAGAAGTAATGAAATTACAGTTAGCAGCCAGGTCGCCTGTGATCAAGGGTGACATTTCTTCTCATTTAAGTGAAGCGGGGGGG